CCTCATCCAGCCTCAATGGCTCCAAGAAGTCTAGATTCCAGAATATGAAATTCTGCATGAATCTCTTTGCATAGTTTTCAGGAATTTGAATGCTTGTCTTTTAGATAAGACTTTAACTTCTGTGACAACCAGGGACTTCAAACCACAACGACACCTGGGGAAATGGCTGGCGCTTCACATTCTGGCCTGACATGAAGGGTCTCATCTGGATGTGCTGACCCTCTGGTGGTTGACCCTGAGCCCCGGCACATGACCCAGGAGCCACAACCCAGCACACGCCTTCGGGCCAACCCAGCAAGTGTGGGAGTCCATGCTTCCTCCTGGGACGTGTTGGTTCTGACAGTGGCGTTGCCCTCGGGCACACCCAAGCCAATCAGACCCATCGATCAATGGGTTGCCTAATCCCCGGACATCCACTTGGGTAAACAGTCCTTGAAATTAACTGAGGGGGGAACTTTGGGGTTTATGCTGGCTGACAGGTCTGTGTTTCCCACGACCTTCAGAGAGAGTGAAGCAGGCAAAGGGCAGGGAGTTCCTGCAGGACACCTGCCACCCAGGCCAGACACAAAGATGCATCTTGTTCTGGCTGGCAAACCCAGCTAATCCTCTCCCTGCTCCTGTGAGCACACTTTCCCCGGAGTCGGGGGCACGTGGAAAGGCAAGAAAGCACCACAGGGAGAGTTCAAACAAGGACATCGAAGGTGGACACAGGAGCTCTTGGATAGTTTCCAAAGGCTCCTGTCGTCATGTTACTACGGGACTCTTCGGTGGGACAGCAAAGATCCCACTAAAAAACGCAGAACCACAATGCACAGCAGCTGAAAAGACTCTCCAAAGAAGCACAGCACGCTTTTGAGTTCAGGCCCAGCTCTGCCATCTAGGAGCTGTCTGACCTCAACCGCTCTGTGCCTCGATTTCCCCATCCTGAAGAGGGGTTCGTGGTCATGCCTCCCTCTTGAGTTTCAACAGTAAATCCGTGCGGAGTACTGAGGGAAGTGCTTGGCAAATGACATGTGTCCGCCATCATGATCTACTATCAGGGATCCTCAAACT